CTTGTAAGTTCTGAAACAAAAAGGATTTATCATTCCTTCCCACACACCCCCTCCTTTATTGCTGTCCTTACTTTTGTTATTATTTACATCTATCCCTACAATAGTGTATTAGAGCAGTACCAGAGTTTTTAATTCTTTTGACTTTGCCGTTTACTACCAACTAATTTTTGAAAAGGACGTTTTAAATTTGGGAAAAACTACTCTTATGTAACATAAGAGTAGTTTATCTCTAATAGATTCATCGAAAATGATGACATCTTTTTTTTTCTTTTTCTTTTTTATAAATTGTGGGTCTCACCACACATGTATCTATAACATGAGAGAATATCTCTCATGTAACATGAGATTAGATTAACCCTTTAAATTTATTATTTTTCAATCACATATATATATATATATATATATATATATATATTGAAAATTGTAAAAGGATGATTAAATATTGATAAACACATGAAAGAAATTTTTTTAAGAAGTATTTATTTTATTAGCTAAATATAAATTATTATACGTTAAAGAATGCTTAAATGTGATAATCTTAAGTATATAAATTCTAATGATATAAATATTAGGCTATACATAAATATGATAAATAATGGAATGATTATATTGCTTACCTATTTAATCTTTCTATCTTTACTATTTTTTTATCATCGTAGATTAAATTGAAATCAATAGTTAAAAGAGAGAAAAGTAATTAGTTAAAAATATAATGAAATAAGAAGCAAAATAAAAAAATGTTATATATGAGACCATTAATTTAAAATTAATTAACAATGATAAAAAGATTAAAAAAGGTAGAAAGATTAAATATGTAATCATTTAGTGGCGAAGTCAGCTCATTTATTAAGTTAGGGGCAACAAAATTTTAGATGAGATTTAATACTAAGACACGGTTACTTAGCCACATAAAAAACATGACTAATTTACAGAAACAAATAATAGCCAAGGGCCCCACACACAACGTGGCTCCAACATTGTAGCCAATATAAGCCTTTCTATAAATAATTGATAATTGATTACTAGTTACAATTATATATGGGAAAAATAAATCTATGTTGTAAAAAAATCTTAATCTCATGTCATAGATACATTAAATGTAAGACCCATCTATTTAAAAAAAATAAAAAAACAAAAAAAATAATGGCATACTTTTTTATGGTGTATGTAAGAAGGGTTTGTTTTTTATTATGCAACGTGAGAAAAACAAATTTCATTATATAAGACCCTAAATTACATGGGAGTAGTTCTCTTATGTTATAGAGAGAGTTTAAGTGGGGCCCACCATTAAAAAGAAAAAAAGAAAAAGAAAAAAGAAGGGGTGCGATTTTTGAAGTGAGAGAAAATAAGATAACTATTTCATGTAAAATGAGAGTAGTATTAAAGAGAGTCAAAGTTACGAAACAGTGACAATTGTGCCACTGTTCCAAGTGTTATTTGCCAAAATGCCACGCCTACGCACTTTTTTCTCAAACTGCCACGCAGACAAGTTCGCTGGGAGTAGTAGCGAACTAGGTGTGGTGATGTGTCAGCAGCCTGATGGTGCTCAAGTTCGCTACTGACACAGGCGAATTTGAGTGCAATAAATGCTGACACGTATGAAGAGTTCGCTGACAGACAAGGCGGACTTGGTTTGCCACGTGTCTGACCCCAACACAGTTCGATGATGGACCAGGCGGACTCTTTGCCATGTGTCAATTGGCACAAAGTTCGCTGACATTGACAGCGAACTAGGTGACAAGTGGCAACCACTAACGCAGTTCGTTTTCCCGTGCAGCGAACTGTGTGCCACGTGGCAGTCCCCCACAAGTTCGCTGCCTAGGTAAGCGAACTACCTGCCGACAGTTACAGTTCGCTGCCCTAGGTAGCGAACTTAGTTCTATTTATACACACCCCTTTTCCTCTCCCGAAGTCATTCTCGTCCTTTTTCCTTAAAGTTTCCATTTTTGTTTGTTACTTTTTGCTATTTCAGTACATAATGAGTGAGAGTAACAACGATGTAATATGCCTTCTATATTACAATGGGAGAAGATATTTTGGACCGAACGGTCAAGTGTTTGAAGGAGATACGAAGATCTTTCGCATGAGTCCGCGTTGCAAATATACTGAGCTGAAGAAAATAATATACAAGAAGTTGAGATTACAACGAGGTCAATCCCTGTCTCGACTGATTGCTAGATGCGCTTCTGGTAGCCCGGTGCAATGGGTTGCTGTGGAGGTGGTGGAGGATGAAGATGTGTCATTAGTAGTTGATGCATTTCGACAGCACGGAGAGGAGTCCTCATACATCGAGTTGTTTGCGGAAGTAAAAACTAGTGGAGAGGCAAGCACTCAAAGTTTCGTCCCTCCCAGTTACTCCATAGACATTAACAGGGAGCCGCAAGTAACTCCGGATTATATGCATGTCTCACCCCCACCACCATCACCCCCACTAACAATGCCTTTAGATGTGATTCCTGTTAATGACATGTATGATCCGTCATGGCGTACTGAGAGTTCCGAGGAAGATGTTGATGAAGGTCTTGTCCCTGACAGTGATTCATCGGATACAAACGTTGATGGTGATTTTGAAATAGAGCCGTTTACTGCATTGTTTGAACCGATTCCATCACCGGGCATTGTTGATACGCATGACCGCATGGTTGTGCAGACGCGCAACGTGATAAAACCCTGCCTGCCTAAGGTAAGGGTGGATATCCTCGGGTATATCCAAATGATCGTGTGACGCAGAGTGTCTGACATTGAGGACACGATCACGCACATGTGCGTCATTTGATGCGTTCCACACATGCGTGGATATGTGTTTGTCCTGCAACGTCAGGATAGAGCGCGAGGATGGACCAGGGTCAAAGAAAGTCTCGTGTGGGCCTGCTGCTCCATGGATCTATTTACAACAAATAAATAATTACTAAGAAATGAATAAATATTCAACATTATTTAATTATTCTATAACTCATATATAATTGAATATTACATACTAAATAATAAGTAATAACCACATTAATATACTTACAACAATTAATAACACTAGTAATGACATACTAAAATTTGGATAATAATGCCTAATCAACAAATAATATAACACAAAGAAAATTCTACAATTGTATTTACAAACCTATAACAAAATAATATTATTCGATTATTAGTAACAACAATTGCATAATAAAAATTATAAAATACAATAATTAAACAAGATTAATTGTGTAATACAAAAATGATATAATATATTAAATTACATAAAACAATAATATATGATGAAAAAATTAAATAATATATAAAAATTAAATACTAATTTCTAAGAAATAAATAAATATTTTTATTTAATATAATATATTATATTTAAATTATATTATATTATATTTACAAAATAAATACTTGCATACAAAGATATATATTATATTATACAAAAATTATATAATATCTAAAAATAAATACTAATTACTAATAAATAAATACATACATTATTGTCAAAATTATTCTAACCTATTTTTCAATCCTATAACTAAATAATGTTAATTAATTCAAATATTTTAATTATTGCATGATCAAGAATTTATTAAATACAAAAACTAACACCATTAGAATATATATTTTTTAACCTACAATTCAACCCTATAAATAATATCAAACAAAAGGCTACTATTAAATAATACATTAATATAAATTACAACACCTAATAAGATTATCATACATATTATAAGCCAATGTCAAAATTTTCTAACCTATTTTTCAATCCTAGAACTATAATTAACAAATTATTAAACACAAAATATAACAACATTAATATAAAAATTATCTAACCTAAATCCTTTAAATAAAGAATGCATATATAAAAAGTTATTATATATATTAATTAAACTATAAAATATTTAACTACTAACATATTAACATGCAATTACTAAACTATTTAAAATAATAAAGAAAATAATATGTAATCCAACCTATTGCTTCATCCTATATATAATATAAATAACAACAATTAAAAACTGTAAAAAAATTTAATGAAATCATAAATGACTAACCTCAAATGAAAACAAAGAATACAAATGAGAGAGAGAAAAAATTAAGAAAGGAAGAGAGTGGGAGAAGAAAAATGAGAGAGAAAGAGAGACAGGAGGGGAGAGGGAGGGGGAGGGGGGATGGGGTTTATATAGGGATGGGAAAATTAGCCGTTACATCAAGTTCGCTGCCATCCCCTGCGAACTTGGTGCATGTCAGCCACGTGGCAAGCTAGCCGTTACGCAGAGTTTGCTGATGTGGCCAGCGACCTTCCATGCGTGCAAGCCACGTGGCCTGGCAGGTGAGGCATTTATTGCACTCAAGTTCGCCTGTGTCAATAGCGAACTTGAGCACCATCAGACTGCTGACACATCACCACACCTAGTTCGCTACTACTTTCAACGAACTTGCCTGCGTGACAGTTTGAGAAAAAGTACGTAGACGTGACATTTTGACAAATAAGACTTGAAACAGTGGCACAATAATCATTTTTCCCAAAGCTACCAACATTAAAGGAGAAAAAGAGAAAAAAGATACCAATAAATTTCGGTACAGACGATAGACGAATGAATTCTTTAACCATGCTACTAAGAATTTGATACTTTGCCGTAGATATAAAAAATGCTTTCTAAGGGCAAAACTTAATTTGATCATCTCTGTACTTTAAAGGGTTACATTTATTTCATGTTATATAAGATAAGTCAATTTCTTACCCATACAAAAAAGAGATAGATTCTACCTCTAATTTTTCTCAGAAATTTTTTTTCCTACCAGATAAAGAAAACTATTTTTCTACTTTAAAATGATTAGTCTTCATCTAATCGGGATATCACGAAAAAACTCACTCAAAAAAGGAGAAAAAGAAAAAGAGATTCGAGAGTGTAGAGTACAAAAGCTATTGGTCAAAAAAGTCGTGCAAGTTGACAGAAGTTGTTAACATTATTCTAGCGGGTCTATCACTCCAAGACTAGCATAGTTCCACCCTATAAATGGCTTACAATGCTTATTGACAGATCCCAAGAATTCTCTCTTTTCTCATAGCTTTAGGTTTTCCTAATTACTTGTCCTTACGTCACCACCACCTCCCCCGTCTCGATGGCCAAATCCGAAACTTTCGCCTCTATTTTCACCATCACCGTCACCCTCCTCTTCTCCTCCTTCGCCACCGTCTCAGCCGGCAAACACCCTCGTTTCCATCGAAGCATCTCCGAAGCATCTTTGGGTGTCCATAAGGAGAAGCTGAGCCACCTTCGCTTCTATTTCCACGACATTGTCAGTGGGCCAAAGCCCACTGCCGTCAGAGTCGCTCAGGCCAAAATGACCAACACTTCCCCCACGCTTTTCGGAGTCGTGGTCATGGCCGACGACCCATTGACCTTGGGCCCCGAGCCTGGCTCCAAACTCGTGGGAAAGGCCCAAGGGATTTACGGCTCTGCGGCCCAGGACGAGACGGGCCTGTTGATGGTGATGAACTTCGCGTTCACCGATGGGAAATATAACGGCAGCACCCTCAGCGTGTTAGGGCGGAACGCGGTGTTCTCCGCCGTGAGGGAGATGCCTATCGTTGGCGGCTGCGGAGCTTTCCGGTTTGCACGTGGGTATGCTCAGGCCAAGACTCACACGTTTGATCTCAAAACGGGGGATGCTGTTGTCGAGTACAACGTCTACGTGTTCCACTATTAACCAGTGCTTTGGAGTTCGGATGGCATCTTTCCACTGTCTTATTATTTACTTTACTTTCACCTTTTTACAGAAACAGTTAGATGCTTTTGGTATATATAATTATGATTTCACATATTCCATGTGCACTTAAACTTCCGGTTATTACGAGATTTGTATTTGTGATTTAATATGACATAACAAAAATTTTTATAGTTGGGCTCATATTTAAAAAAAAAAAAAAAAAAAATTATGACACGCAAAACGAATCTCTATAACATTACACTATTATTTTTTCCTATGACATTAGTCTTATAAAACCCTATTACCAATTACCATAGTTGCTATCCACTTGTCTGGTGTTGATGCCATATTTCTTTGTTATACACTAGCGGGGACTAAAGAGTCTTAAATACGACCCCCGAAAAAAAACTTAAATACGGGATTTCTAAATAAAAGAATTTGTTTTATTTCAATTGAAAATAATCACTTGACGCATGAAAGCTGAGCAGATGAGCATAAAATCCTTTACAGTATCATATTTAGAAGGCAGTTAAAGTCTTAATTCTGGATACATCCCGAATAAAATTGTTTCTCGTAGAAAATACCTGTGATTTATTAAAAAAATAATAATAATGAAATTTTATGATAATATACAGATAACTCAACGGAACAGTGACAATTTTGCCACGCTTCAACAAAAAATTTACCAGACTGCCACGCCAACAATAAAATTTCCCAGAATGCCACGTGACATAATTCGGTACACTGTGTAGTGAATTATGCTTGCTGATGTGGCAAGTCACAATTGGTTGGAATAATTCGCTACACAAGATAGCGAATTACTCCATGCTTGACATGTGACATTTTGCTGACTGTGCAGACTGAACCTTGACCATGTAATTCGCTACTCTGTATAACGAATTATTCCAACCAATTGTGACTTGCCACATTAGCAAGCATAATTCACTACACAGTGTAGCAAATTATGCCACATGGCATTCTGAGAAATTTTACTGTTGGCGTAGCAGTCTGGAAATTTTTTTTGTTGAAGCGTGGTAAAATGGTCACTGTTCCTAACTCAACAATGCTTGTTACTTGAAATCGTTTATGGGAGATATATTGGTTATATTTTATGCAATTTAATTTGATTAAAAAACCTTGACGTGTAATAATAGGGAGACTTTTTATAAATCAATTTAAAACTTGCACATAGAAGTAATCATTTAGATAGCATTATTTTATTTTTTTGGGTACAATATTTCGTATTATCATTCAGGGTATCTTTGGTACATAATATAATATAAGGCTTAATATCAGTTAGTATAAAATATAATTGAATTTTAATACTATCTAGTTTTTGACATGATATTATATAAGATAATACATTTGGTAATGCATGGTATAATATCAGGTAGAATAAAAATAAATATTTTTGACAAAAATATCTTTTAATAAAGAATTTATATAATTCTTCCAAATATGTCATATGATATTAATTTTTATAAAAATCTATTGACCAATGTGTCAAAAAAAATATTAAATTTTACAAATATTTTTTCCAATATTTTAAAAATTAATATATGGAAAAGTTATTTTTCATTTTAATATATTAATATTAAATTAATATATTAATTTTTGAGAATCGCATTAGTCAGCGATGTTAATACATCAATCGCTTATCAGGCCTAATCCCATCCCATAAGACATGATTAAGTTATACATTGTTTTGATGTATTAAGAGATTCTGCTATATAAACTTAGGGGTTTGCATTTATCATTTAACATGACACAACAAAGTTTCCTACACACACAACATTTTGTGGGCCCCACACTTTTTGAAAAAAAAAAACTACGGCACGCAAAACGAATCTCTATAACATTACACAATCACTTTTCATACAACATAACTCTTATAAAACCCATAAACTTATACTATTCGATAATCACTCTAAACAATTAAAAATGTCATAATGTATCATATAAAGTTATATTGTCAAATCTTATATATCATAACATCGGGTTGGCTCGTAACCCGGCTAAAATGAGCCGGGTTGGGTTAGGAAAAATGAGTTAGTAACTGAAGTCAGCCCGACTCGTTTCAGCTCGAAAAAAATCGAGCCAACCCACGGGTCAAACGGGTTGGCGCGTGGGTTATGTTTTTTTTAATATAAAAGTATAAAAAATAATGAAGGTAAAGTGAAAAGCTAAAACCTAAAATTCCAATTCCAAAGACCCAAACGAAAATACCTTGCAGCTGTCAATAAGTCCAAAATTGTGCATTAAGGACCTTTTTTATAGTATGTGTAACGGTGTGAATGTGGTGCCAACTGCCAATAAATCCAAGTTCAAATGCAAAAGGAATTTTCTATGGTTTATCTGTATAATGTCTTTGTATTGAATTAATTAATAATTTAGGGAAAAATTTAGAAGGTACAACATCAATGAAATTTTTTTCTTTCTATTTTTTCGAGCCAACCCGCGAGCCAACCCTAACCCGACTCGGGTCGGGTTGGGTTGAGTTTTCTAACTCGTTTATTTTTTGAGCCAACCCTAACCCGGCTCGTTTTTTTCGGGTTGAACGCGAGTTGGGTCGGGTTGAGCCGGGTTGGCCCGTTTTGTCAACCGTAATAAGAAGTCAAGGTTGCACCCAATAAAATAATAAGAAAATGTTCAATCTAGCGATTTGCCTCGAGAATTTTGTTGATACTTCTGTCATAGTTACATTTATATTAAGGGATTTGCATTTGTTATTTAACATGACACAACAAATTTTTTTACACACACAACATTTTGTGGGGCCCACACTTTTTGAAGAAAAAAGAAAAAAAAACTACGGCACGCAAAACGAATCTCTATAACATTATAACATAACTCTTATATAACCCTTATATTAAAAGAAGGAAGCTTTTGGGGGAATTACAAATGAAATAATGGATCAAAATGAATTTTTTAATAAAAAGAATACCGAGTTAGATACTTATGCTATATTACATAAATTTCACTATACTTCTCTCCATTACCCTGGTACACTATGATAGTCCTATTTTAATAATGATAATGTAACCAACAACCATTGTTTACTTATTTCCCTAAGTAGATGCTCTCATCACCCCCACGTTGCATAACTTGCATCATGCTTCTACAAATTTAATAGACATTTCATCCTAATTACTCATTTTATTATGATTAATATTTTTCTTACATAAGAAAAGTATTTTCTCTTATACTCATATTTTTTAAATGAGTTTTACAAGAAATTTTTCTCTCTCCTATTTATTATCTGGGTAGAGGATAATATTTTTCTTATATAATATAAGAAAAATATTACCCTTTTATTATTCTAACCTATCACATAATTTTTTTAATGATCAATATGTTACAAAAAAAAAAAACAGAGACTCTAATACTATTTTCACTATTTTTTTAGGGAATTGTTTTTTTATGTTATATAAGATAAAAGTAGTTTTCCTACACTCACAAAAGAAAAAGAGAGGAGCGAGAATAGGAAAAAGAGAAAAAATTTAAAGTGGGTCGCACATAAAATTTGTGTGTATAGGAAGATTGTTTTATCTTATGCAACATAAGAAAAACAATTCCATTTTTTTATTATACTACAATTATTTTAGAAAGGGGTTTAATGTTTCTTATGTTATAAAAGATAAATTTATATCCTATATATATATATATATATATATATATATATATATATATATATATATATATATATATATATATATATAAGTGTGTGGGACTTATATGAGCCCATATAAGGAGAAAAAAAACATGAACTCCGCATATTTTTATTAATATAAGAGATAAATTTATTTCCTATGAGAAACAATAAACCCTTTAAAATAGGGTTTATTGTTTGTCATGTGACTGGATATAAGATTTTGTCTTATCACCCTTATAACTATGTATTCCAGAGAATACACAGATATAATATTAATTTTTTTTTCTCTTCGTAAATTTTTCATAAACTTGTCTGCTGACGTGGAGAAAGAAAAAAATTAATATTATAATTATGTACTTCACGGAGTACATAGTTATAAGGGGTGACTGGATAAAACCTTATATCTTGTGACTGGACATCATATGGACCCTTAAAAATATATATTAAAATAGGGAAAATATTTTTTCCTTTTAAAGCATACAAGTTGTGTTATTATTAACTGCTTATAACTATGTACTCCAGGGAGTACATAATTATAATATTAAATTTGTACTTTTTTCACTTTTTATGTCAGCCGACAGGTTCTGAATAGAGAAAAAGAAATATAACTTTAATATTATAGCTATGTACTCTCCGGAGTACATAGTTATAAGCAGCTAAAATGACAAACTATTTTCCCATTAAAATAATTACTTCTATCACTACTCAAATTATTATAAATTTAGAGCATTGCATGTTCCTGTGGGAAATATCTAATATACTACTGTTGCACCATTTGTTTGGTGCTACCAGCCAATAGAAATCTATAAATGACGGTGATATTTGTACATATAGGAAAGAGAAAGTGTTTTTTTATCCAAACGTCAGTTGCTCAATGGAAGAGTTACCTACTACAGTTATATGGAAAATGATCTCGTTCCCGTGAGGCTTTAACTCTTTCCCCCAATGACTAATATGTCTAAATCGATAACTCTTTTCGCGGAACCCGGAAGTTACTCTAGAAGAATCTCATCAGCATCTGTGATTTTCCAAGATCTTGGAAACCCATATATGCTGGTGAGATTTTCTAGAGTAACTCGCGGGTTCTTCTAAGGGAGAAGCTCACCCACCTTCGCTTACACCTCCATGACGTAACTCAACAATGCTTGTTACTTGAAATCGTTTATGGCATATATATATATATATACACACACATTGACGGACCTATTTGGTTGCCAATGTGTGCAAATGCACACATAAATTTGGTCATACATTTTTTTAGTAAAGAAGAGATATATTTTTTAATTAATTAGGAATGTCACTCAAGGAGTAATTTTAGTGGCTGCATTGCCAGGAATACAAGCACAGGTACTAAGGAAGAAACACATCTTATTTACTGCTTATGTTTTAGTGATTTTATATCATTAAGATGATTACTGTTAAGTCGGAGTTTTCTTTTCTTTCGTTGTTTAAAGATTATATCCCTTATATTATATGAACGAAATTTTTTGTCATGTTAAGAAAAAGACAAGCTAT